TTCTTCTTCATTTCTTGGTTGATACTCCTTGCCCACTCCTCAAATAGGTAGCACCAGTCATTCATGTGCATTTGTTTGATCTCCATGTGACAGGGAGGTCTTTGTGCATCAGGTTCTTGAATGCACTTGGCTTTGCCAGTTTTACCAGTCACCAAGGATTTTTATTTCTCTGTGGTTGAGCTAGTGTAAAACAGAACTGTGACATGTTCTTTGGAAAATTTTCTGCTCTTACATTTGTCACCCTTCATGATGAGGCTCCTGTCAGGCATCACTTTGAAAAAAAAAGAGTCTCCAGTTGCCAGCATTAAAGAAGTCAAACCCTTGGGCTTAGCCGATTCTCTTGCCTTAGCCTCCCAAGTAGCTGGGACTACAGGCGCCTGCCACTATGCCTGGCTTTTTTTGGTTGTAGTTGTCATTGTTGTTTGGCAGGCCCTAGTGGGTTCAAACCTGCCAGCTCTGGTGTATGTGGCTGGCGCCCTAGCCACTGAGCTACAGGTGCCAAGCCGGAAGCCATTTTTTTTTTAAGGTTAACATGTACCTTAATGTTTACTTTGGATATTCTGTGTGACCTGGTTCTTGAGCTCTTTCACATGTTATCTGCTAGTAACTATAAGTAAGCTATATAATGTCCTTGTGAAATGAAAATTCCAAACCATGTGTTTAGCACTCATGAATTTAAGTGAATTAATACTAGCTTATTGCTACATGAATTCTAGGATTTCTCTTTTCTTTAATCAAAATTGTGTTAAGTATTTGGTTATGTCACTGGCAATCTGTTTGCTGTTAGTTAAGACCATCATAATTATTAATATTTTTAAATTACTAAGTAAAGGTTAAAGGAGATATGACAAGATCTGTATCTTCAAAGGCTTTTAATCAAATCAGGTATTAGACTACATATAATTTGGTACATTGTAGGTGGCAAATGAATGATATAGACAGTGGTACTCCAAGTATTAATGATAAATTAGTTATAAAAGATTTCACAAAGGTGTTAAGATATGAGTCATGCTTTAAATGCAGACAAAAGAGTTGAGAGGCCATTCTAGGAATAACTCTAAGACATGTTTGCTCCCCATGTTTATGTAGTAGCTTTCTTTTTTCTTGAGACAGAGTCTCACTATGTCACCCTTGGTAGACACAGCTCACAGCAATCTCAGACTCATGAGCGTAAGCGATTCTTTTGCCTCAACCTCCTAGTAGCTAGAACTACAAGCACCCAACACAATGCCCAGCTATTTTTTTTATTGCAGTTGTCATTGTTTTAGCTGTATCCAGGCTGGATTCGAACCCACTAGCCTTTGGTGTATGTGACTTGTGTTGTAACCATTGTGTTATGGGCACTGTGCCTATGTAGTAGGTTCCTAATACACGAATTTAAATAGGGATTGGATATTGAAGGGCCTCAGAAGATGCACAGAAGAGTTTGTTATTGGTAACCAAAAATAATTTTGAGCAGAGGGTGGTGATAAATATTATTTTAAAAAATTATTTAGTTATTTTAATTCCTTAACTGATAGGCCAGGCATGGTGGCTCATGCCTGAGATCCTAGCACTTTTGGAGACTGAGGCAGCAGCATTGCTTAAGGATGGGAGTTCAACACCAGCCTATGCACCACAGTGAGAACTTGTCTCTTAAAAACAAAACAACAACAAAAATAACCGGGCCTTGTTTCACAAGCCTGCCATCCTAGCTACTCAGGAGGCTTGAGTTGAGAGGATTGTTTAAACCTTGAGAATTTGAGGTTGCAGTGAACTATAATCGTACCATTGGATTCCAGCCTGGGTAACAAAACAAGACCCTAACTCTAAAAATAAAAATTAGGCTCGGCGCCTGGGGCTCAGGCAGCTAAGGCGCCGGCCACATACACCTAAGGTGGTGGGTTCGAATCAGCCCGGGCCCACCAAACAACAATGACGACTGCAACCAAAAAAAAAAATAGCTGGATGTTGTGGCGGGTGCCTGTGGTCCCAGCTACTTGGGAGGCTGAGGCAGGAGACTCACTTGAGCCCAGTAGTTGAAGGTTGCTGTGAGCTGGGATGCCACAGCACTCTACCCAGGGGGACAGCTTAAGGCTCTGTCTCAAAAAATAATAATAATAAAAATTAAAAACAAAAGAGAAATGGCATATATAGTAGTGTAGTAGTATTGACTGTAATTTATCTTTCTTAATTATAGGTTAAACTATGCTAATGTCCCATCATAGATCAGAAAATTGACATCTTTTTTTTTTTTTGAGACAGAGCCTCAAGCTATCCCCCTGGGTGGAGTGCTGTGACATCACAGCTCACAACAACCTCCAACTCCTGGGCTCAACCAAGTCTCCTGCCTCAGCCTCCCATAGCTGGGACCACAGGCGCCCCCCACAACGCCCGGCTATTTTTTGGTTGCAGCTGTCATTGTTGTTTTTGGCAGGCCGGACTGGATTTGAACCCGCCACCATAGGTGTATGTGGCTGGAGCCCTAGCCACTTGAACCACAGGCACCGAGCCAGAAAATTGACATCTTAAATGCAAATGTTTGCCATGTTTATGGAGGTAAAATGATTCTTTTGTTTTAAAAGCAGGTGTTAGAAACATTCTTTTCTAAGCTGAAAGAGATTTTTGGCTTTCTGCAAGATTTTATTTTTTTAACTTCAAAAATTTTTTTAAGAGATGGAGCCCTACTATGTTGCCCAGGCTAGAGTGCAGTGAATAGTGTATCATAGCACACTACAACCTCAAACTCATGGTCTCAAGTGAGGCTTTCCCTCAGCCTCCCAAGTAATTGGGACTACAAGCATGTGCTACTGTGCCTTATTTTTACAGGTTTTTAACCTTTCAAATACTGTATGTTCTAATACTTATGTGCAAGTATACATGGATTTTAGGGGTTGTGTATGATTATTCTATCTAATGTTGCATGATTCTAAGTGCAATAGAAAAAAATTAAAAGCATTATAAAAATAACCTTAATATTTCATTGCAGCAATCATCTGATTTCTTTTCTGAATGTATTTATCTTCATTCATTCTTTATGAGGTTTTTGTTCTCAGTCCTTATGTTAAATATTGTTATTGTCATTAAATTTAGCCTTTTTAATTCTGTGAAGGTAAAAGTGGAAACCTAATATACACATGTATAAGAAAAAAAAATAACCTCCATCTTGGCTTGGCACCCTTAGCACAATAGTTACAGCGGTGGCCACATACACCAAGGGTGGCGGGTTTGAACCCTGTCTGGGCCAGCTAAACAACAATGACAACTGCAGCAAAAAAATAGCTGGGCGTTGTGGTGGGCACCTGTCGTCCCAGCTACTTGGGAGGCTGAGGCAAGAGAATCACTTAAGCTTGAGAGTTTGAGGTTGCTGTGAGCTGTGACTCCACAGTGCTCTACAAGGGCAACATAGATTCTGTCTCAAAAAAAAAAACAAACCCCAAAACAAAAAAACCTCCCTCTATTAGAAAAAGCAAGCAGGGTAAATACAAATGAAAAATATGAAGAGAAATAGATCAATTATGAAAGTTGGGGTGTTAGTTGAATGTTTATAAATTGACTGGATGGGCTAAGACACATCCTGTTTCTGTCCCCAAAAGGATTTATAATATGAGACAAGAAATTATATTTGACAGTCTCTCACAATTAAGATTATTGAGAGTATAGATATCTCAATATACTTTGCACTTTCCAAAATTGTTTGGGAGATTTGGGTAAAAGACAAAGATAATTGGAGAACATTGGGATAATACAATTGGAAATAAGAGAAAGAATAAGAAGTATGAGTTCATAATGGTGTTCATGTAGGAAATTCAGGAATTGCTGACACCATCACCCTAACTTTTCTTCCTTTATGTAATATACATTATAACTGTAAATATATTGTATCCTGAATTCAGAGAAATGTGTTATTGATAATTAGCATTGTGGAAGTCAGGTTTCATCGTAAGTTTTAATAATGCAAAGAAAACAAATAGAAAAGGTAAAAATAAGCCAATAATTTTAATGACTATAATGGAGCAAGTAGATTATATTTTTAGATAACAATCAGCTCACTGCTTTGTACTTGTTACTGCAGTAGAGAATTAAAAGTGTCCCCAGGAAGCTCACCGTGGAGATTTTTTTTGCTCTATTATATAATTGGTGATAATAACCAAACAGTGGTTCTAATTCTTTCCCCTTAAAGTTTTAAGGAAAATACTTAGGAAATTGAAATGTAAGTATATGTTTAGTATATGATTTGTGGTAACAGTATTTTTTTTGTTAAGGATACTTAGATGGCTTATCAGATGTAAACTTTTGTGTTAGGTTTAGTACTTAATTGGGACACTTCAGAATTCTAGTAGGGAGGAGTGTTATGTTTAAGATTTTTCCCCCCAGCTTTGTTTTCACTTTGGGGTTTTGCAAAGGATTTCCTTCAGCCACTCAGTTTTTGCCTGCTTAGTCTACAACAAAAACCGGACCTGCAGTTGAGTTTTCAAAGCTTTAGTCGATGACTACTTAACTTAGTACCAGTAGAGTTTTAGAAATTTCCTCAGAAATCTGTGTTGGTCAGTAGGTTTGGATTATATGATTGCTGCTTGTACTTGGGAAATGGTGGGGATGGAGTAGAAAGGCATTTCTGATTAAATATTGGACAAATTAAAAGGAAGAGCTTTTAATTAAATTGTCCTTGGTTTATTTAACTTAGTTTTAAGGTTGTCATATCTTTCTGTTAAATAATGATGAAAAACTACCATATTACTTTCCTTTTGGTCAAATATATCTTACTAGAAGAAAGCATTTCTACAGTAACGGCTATGTGTTCCCTCAGTTTCCATGATCTGCAGCCTACTGAGTTTATGTTACCACATGAATAACTAATCCAGATGGCTAAACTGTTGGTGCACAGAAAACCAAAACCCATTTCAGGAAGCTATTCACTTTGTTCATCTTTGGATAGGATACATTCTAATTTGTAGTGACTTTCTCAATTTGTTTTAAAATATAATTCTTAATTGCATGTTTTCTTGATTTTTACCTAGGTTGCAAAATGTCCTCCTATGCTTGAGACCTACAGACTACATGTCCTGCAGGAACTAATCAATGGTTTTTCATCTCCTGAAGATACATTAGAAACATAAATATGGTGCCAAAAGAACTCCTTACCTTTTTCTGACTACTGTTTATTTGAACATACTTTTGTATTGAAGAGAAGTATACACACTGAGACCGTTGTATAGGATCATGGACCATTCTAGTAGGGAAAAGGATGAAAGACAACGGACAACTAAACCCATGGCACAAAGGAGTGCACACTGTTCCCGACCTTCTGGCTCCTCAACATCTTCAGGGGTTCTTATGGTGGGACCCAACTTCAGGGTTGGCAAGAAGATAGGGTGTGGAAACTTTGGAGAGCTCAGATTAGGTAAGAAATTGGTCATGTCACTGGCTACCACTAACAACAACAAAAATAAGCTTTGATGTGTTTCAAGGCAAGTAGTTTATAACTTTTATGAGAAATTTCTCTTAAGTTCGATGTGTTATAAGAAATAAAGAACTTTTTAAGGGAGCTATAGTCACTATCAGCAATAACTATTACTCAAAGTTTATCTCTTTTTATGTGTGAGAAGCTTTTAAATTTTCTACCTGCTCTCAGATTTTTATGGTGTAGGCAGATGTACATACAGATATCAATAAAATGCAGATTTTGGTTAAATAGGTCTGAGGTGGAGCCTTAAATTATGGGATTTTTTACAAATTGCCAGGTGGTACAGATGCTGTTGGTGTTTGAACTACATTTAAGAAGGGAATAAGGCCTTACTTTAATTTTGCCCCTAAAATCATAGGAGTAAATCCTTAGTAATACCCAAACTTAGTGTATAAGGATATATAGTGTATGTTAAGAGAAGTTTTCTAGCAGATAATCATGTTTGCATTTCTTCATGGAGTTCCCAACATTGGAAATAAAGTTGAACTCCAAGGAGAAATTATGAAATTTTATTCCCCAACCAAGGAAAGGGATTTTCTATAACTCTATTGCCCTGTGTAGAGAGCCCTGGTGGCATCTTGGTAGCTCTCAATAGCCTCAAACTCCTGGGTTCAAGTGCCCCTCTTGCCTCAGCCTCTCAAGTAGCAGGGACTACAGGTGTCAGCCACAAAGCCTGTCTAGTTTTTCTATTTTTAGTGGAGACAGGATCTCATTCTTGCTTAGTCTGGTTTTAAACTCCTCAGCTCAGGTGATCCACTTACCTCAGCCTCCCAGAGTGCTAGGATTATAGGTATCAGCCGCTGCACCTGGCTCATTTTCTATTTCAAGTGTGAATTTATGGGTGACATGATGAACAATGATAAAATCAGCCACTTTGAAGATGGGAGATTGAGAAGAAAGTACCTTGGATATTGATATAACTTTTAATGGCCTTCTCTTGGTGAATGGCAAAGAGAAAATGAAAGGCCTTATAAGTATATAAAGATGGAGATCAGCTTAGAGAATTTGGAAAAGTCTCTCTTTAGGCCAAAGTATTTTTTTCTTTGAGGCTGTTGAGACATTATTAAGATTATGGATTATTATGAAGATGAATTTCAAGAAACTTTGGCCCTTGGGGGAGCAGTAGAGTGGGAGCATATGATTACTGCTTGTTACCCATGTTACTTCTCTTGGCCCTGCAAAAAGAAGATGGAAAAAAATCTTACCTCTGATTCTTCATAGTGAGCTTTGGAGAAACATCAGTACACTGGCCTGAGATCAGTGGGTACAGAATTAAATTTAAGGATACTAAGAATGAATTTATTTTTACCAATAGAAGGCTGGCAACCTGAAATTTAAAGACCTGACTAGGATAATAAAAGGGTCTTTATATTTAGGGTTGTATTTATGTTCAGATTAGCTAAGCCAGCAGATGCTACTGAGAATAGGAGTAAGATGTGTAATTTCACACTGCTTGACTTCTTAGCAACTACAGAGTTGCTTTAGCAACTAGTTTCATGAATATTTCTTTATGTAATGAATTGACTTTGTTTTAACATCACAGTACTACTTGCATTAAATAGATTATATTATAACATCCACAAAATTATTGCTGAGAGTTTCTAATGCATATAAATCTATGAATTCTTAAAAAATCAGAAAATTGTTTAATTTCTGTGAAGATGAAAAATCCTTGGCCAATGAAAATTGGAAATCTGTTTAATCATTAAGCCTAGATTTGTAGTCTAAATTTACATGGGATTGAAAACAATCTGCTCAGTTAAAAGGATAAATTTGTAGCACATACGTATTTTCAGAGCAGTGTTGTGTTTTATTTCTTCTAATGAATCTGGGATAATTTTGTTATTTCTTATTTTGCCTTGCCTGTAGTCAGTAGAAAGAACTTGTCCTTCTTTTCAAGTGGTTTTATTTTGTGTTTATCAGATTTTCATTAACACTGGGATCATATTGTTGTGTCATTGTATTTAGAAGTAGTTTTTCTTATCTGCATAAACCAGTAAAAATGCTTTCTGACTCATTTAGCATCTTCCGAACAATAGTGTGGGCTATAAGCCCCATTCTGTTATTCTCTTGCTCTAGTATTAGTTAAGTAGGAGATTGTACAGACAACAGAAAATGTAAACTAGGAAATTCTAAACTCAAGGTAGGTGCAGGTAGGCTTCCATCTTGGCTCCCACCTACAAAGCCCTCCTTCTGCAAACGAATTTCTTTTTCTAGCTACACTGTCTCTTCTGTCCTTCAAACAGCCAAGTGCATTTCTGTTACAAAGCTTTACATTTGCAGTACCTTGTGCTTGCAGAACTTTTCCCCTAATATTTTGCATAGCTGGCTGTTTCTCATCTTTCAGTCTTCAGCTTTATGTCTTTCTTACCTTCTTGGAGAAACCTATAACCTCTTCCTCATCCCCAGGTAAAGTAGCATATTTCTTCTCTAGCACATTCTGTTTTATCAAACTATTAATAGCAGTAATAACTATCTGAAATGACCTTGTGTATTTGTTTGCCTATTTATTGTCTCTCTTGAAAACACGGTATAAGCTCTTTGGAGGGCAGGGTTTCTCCTTGTGTTGTTTACTATTATTTATAAGATTGATGGATAGCTGGATGAAGAGGAAGGGAGAGAAAAAAATGAAAGCCTGGGCTGCTTTGGGTTCCAGGTTTATGTGGGTGGTAAGGTGATGGCAGTGGTAGGTAGTGGCCCTAGTGTTTAAAATTATAGATTAAAAAAAAAGAAGTGCCAGTGAGTATGTTTTGGTTCTCTGCAAATGTTTCAACCCTGTTATGCGTTTAAAACCATTTCTTGAATATTTGTTGTCATGCTAGACTTTGGGAAGGATACAAATAACAAGATGTAGTATCTGTCTCTAAGAATACCACAGTGTAGTGGTAGAGAGAAAAAGACTAATTGCAATACAAATCGATAATTATTATATTAGATTTTATAGAAGCTTGTTGGCAGAGAAGGTTAATGAAGATTTCAGAGAGGAGATATCATTTAATAAAAGGACAGGATTTCTGCTGGTAGTCACAAGGAAGGACTCTTCAGCTACAGGATGCACAAGCACTAAATGCTATAGAAATGGCTAGCAGATTGTCAGGGCAGCAGCTAGTTATACATGACTGGGTCCTAGGATGTGAAGTGAAAGAAAAGTAATAGTTGGAGGCAGTTAAGTAAGTTGGGGCCAGATTGTGTTTGCATGGTATTAAAGCATTTAAGCTTTATCCTGTGGGCATTATAAGGATCAAGGATTTCACAACAGAAAAGTGTCATGATCTGCTTTGTAGTTTAGAAAGAGAATTCAGGTAGCTGTTAAGATTTGGACAGATAGGCTCGGCGCCTGTGGCTCAAGTGGCTAAGGTGCCAGCCACATACACCTAAGGTGGTGGGTTTGAATCCAGCCTGGGCCTGCCAAACAACAATGATGGCTGCAACCAAAAAATGGCCAGGTGTTGTGGCAGGAACCTGTAGTCCCAGCTACTTGGGAGGCAGAGGCAAGAGACTCGCTTGAGCCCAGGAGTTGGAGGTTACTGTGAGCTGTGATGCTACAGCATTCTACCCAGGGCGACAGCTTGAGGCTCTTTCTCAAAAAAAAAAAAAAAAAAAAAAGATTTGGACAGACAGTATAGAAGTTGACATCTTAGAGATTTTGCTCTAATTGTGGTACTTGTCACGTTATACTTTCTTTTTCCATCTCTACCCCAAAATATGATTAATGGGTACTTTTTTGTTTCATTATTCTTCACATCCCTAACTGTATGGCATATAATGGCTACTGGAGAAATGTTTGTAGGCTAAATAATCTAGGTCAGAAATATCAGAGCCTTAGGTCTTAACTCTGAAAAATGGCAATGAGATAGAGGAAGGGTGAATTAGAAAGAAATTTTAGAAGTAGTCTTAGGCAAGGTTTAGTCACTAGTTATTTGAGTGGCAGGAGTCAATGATGACTAAATTTGTCAGCTTGGAGAAAACATGTAAGTGAGGAAACCTTTAATGGAGATAGGAAAAATGGGACTAGGGTAAATGGTTGGGAAGGCACATAAGACACAGTTTGTGAATATTTGACTTTGAGGGGTGTTGGCATATATGCAGAAATGTGTATCTGAGACTTAGAAAGTTTAGGCTTGATTGGGCACCTGTAGCTCAGTGGTTAGGGCTCTGGCTACATGCCCAGGGCTGGTGGGGTTTGCACCCAGTCCAGGCCTGCTTAAAAAAAAAAAAATAGCTGGGCTTGGTGATGGGCACCTGTAGTCCCAGCAACTGGGGAGCCTGAGGCAAGAGAATCACTTGAGCCCAAGGGTTTGAGGTTGCTATAAGCTTTGACGTCATGGCACTTTACTGAGGGTGACAAAGTAAAACACTGTCTCAATTTAAAAAAGAAAGAAAGAAAGAAAGTTTAGGCTTGAGGTAGGGATTAAGAAACCACTGTGTGGATGCTATTGAACACGCAAAGGGTGAAGACATGATGCTTTGTGGGGCTTTTATGACTGGGAAAAGGAGGATGCTAGAAGACAAAGTATTTGAAGAGTAGAGGGGTTAACAGGAGAGGGCAAATTATTGCCTTTGATCTTTCACTTATGTTTATATATTTCTGGGATGTTTCTTTTCCCTCCTTTTTTTTTTTTTTTTTTTTTTTTTGAGACAGAGTTTCACTTTGGTCACCCTTGGTAGAGTGCCGTGGCATCTTACCTCGCAGCAACCTCAAATTCTTGGATTCAAGTGATCTGCTTGTCTTAGCCTCCCAAGTAGGTGGGACTACAGACACCTGACACAGCTACAGTATACACAAACACTAAATGCAGTGGAAGTGATGGGAAGGGAGGGAAAGCCTGGGCTGCTTTGAGTTCCAGGCATTTTTTTTTTTTTTCAGACAGAGCCTCTAGCTGTTGCCCTGGGTAGAGTGCTGTGGGGTCACAGCTCTCAGCAACCCCCAACTCCTG